TGAAATTTTATATTTTTTATTCCAGACTTTGTATATTTGTTTAGGGACTAATGTTGCTAGGTTTTTAATTCTTTCTTGGATTTCTAATCCTTGGTAAGTAATTTAATTGAAAAATTAATTTGTAATAACTACAAATTAACACATTTTTAAGAATAATTAAAATTTATTTTTTTCTCATTGTAAGGAAAAAAGAAACACAAATAAACAAATTAAAAATTTATTCAAAGTAATTCAGCAATAATTCTCTTTTTATATACACCCTCGAGGTTAAAAATTGTAGGTAAACCTAGGTGTATCCATTATTGAGGTTTTAAAAATTTATCTTAATTAAAGATTACCTTATTGGTGTATATAAAATCGAGGTATGATTGAACATAGAATTAATTAAAATAATTTTTAAAATATTTAATTTTCTTCTTTATTTTTTTCTTTAGGCTAGTTCTTCCTCTTCAAATACTTCAAGGAATTGTACATTCTATTAGTTGGGCTATGGCTACATCTTATGTTTCAAGTATAGATTTTATTACTAATATTTTTTAAAATAGATTTAAAAAATATTTCAGTTGTTTCTCCTCCACATTTAAAAGGAAATAGTCAACATATTTTAACAATTCTGTAAATATATTTTCCTTAATAATTATTTAAAATTATTTATTTAAAGTTATCACGGTCTAGGTCGTGGTGTAGGTCCTATAATTGGTGGATTTTTTATTCGTTCATATGGAACACGTGCTTGGTTTGCTCTTCTAGCATTTATTACTCTTTGCATTTTGGGAGCTTTTTATGCCGTTAATTTAAAATTAAAAAATGCAGCAGTTAAATATGGAGGTTTTGATGCTTTTGATGATGAAGTTGGGGGTGGGGGGAATTTAGGTAGAAGATTTTTAAAGATTTTTAAAAATTATTTCTAACTATTTTTAGCCCCTCAAGGGTTACCAATGCATCGATTAGGTGATAATAAAATAACTGAAGCATTTAACCAAACACCGGTTGCTAGTCAAAGCTATGGAGCTTTAGATGGTTTGGCAACAAATAATGGTAATACAAGAGATGAACGTGATGATGCTTATGATAGATATGTTACTGGAAAAAATTAATAATTACTAGAAAATAGAAAAAAATCTTGAAGAAAAGCAATAAATAAACAATTTAATTTAGAAATAAATTTGTATATTTTTGTTCTTTAAATTAAAAAAAATAATCCAAAAATAGGTATTAGACTCTGTCCAAAATTAATTTGATTAACACAATTGTTTTTAAAAAGGGTAAAATTATGACAACAGTTCAAAATTCTTTTTATTCTTCCTTCTTTTTAAGGAGAAGGAATCTTCTTTTAAGATTCCTTTTCTTTTTAAGCAAAAACAAAATAGGAAATCACAATTTTAATTTATACAGTAGTCGACATAAAAATAGGGACAAGAGTAGTAAATAATTTAAATGAAAATTAACTATTTCTCAGTCAAAAAATACGTTCAATATACCAATCGAAAGCTCTATTCGTATCTCAGTTGACATGATTCTGCATTTTTCATGAAATTGAAAATTGGCCGAGATAATCCGGATCTACCGGATATACCAAATCCCATATCCTCGGAAAAATTTTTCGGAAAAAATTTAACAAACCCATTTGATAAAGCATATTTTTGTGAGTATGTACCACAAAACCGCTTAGAAATATCTTTTTCCGGTCCAGAGATATGATTTTTTGAAAATGGCATTTTTAGCCTATTTTTGCAAAAAATTCAATTTTTAAGGGAAAAATGCCATTTTCAAAAAATCATATCCCTGGATATTTTTAAGCGGTTTTGTGGTACATGCTAAGAAAAATATGCTTTATCAAATGGTCCGTCTTTATATAAACAAATGTACATATGTATATGTATTTAAAAAATAAAATTTTTTAATTAATTTTAATTTTATTAAATTTATTTAAATTTTATTCATTTTTTTATTTATTTTAGCAAATAAAAATCGATTTACAATTAATTTTTAAATACAAATTTACTTTCAAAATAATTAAAACGCCCTTTAATGAGAGAAGCTTTCGCAATACGTCTAGCTAGGCATTTAAAATATTTTTACATCCCTGCATAGGTATATGGCAAAATAAAAAAATTAAAGGGCAGCTTTTATCTTTTGTCTTTTAAACCTTTCCAAAATTAAATTTTAAAAAAACTTAAAAGCTAATTAAGTAAAAAAGACTTTTTTTGATTTTAACTCGCCATAAAAATTGTTTTTAAAAATAACTAAAAATTTTTTATTATAAAATTCAGAATCTAAATAATAAATTATATTTTAATTTCTAAAGAAAATGTCTTTATTTAAAAACAATTTTTTGTTAAATTTTTTAATTATTTTTGTTATTGTAAATTATATTGCGGGAATGGAAGGAAATGGTAGAAATGGAGGAAATCGAAGACGGGGAAGACGGAATGAAAGGCATGAACATGAAGCGAATGAGGAGTTTGGAATTGAATATCCCATCAATTTACCCAATCAACAAGCTCCGGTAAATTAAAATAAATTTTTTATTAATTTTGTTTAAATTAATTAGTAAATTTTTTAAATATAAAGCTTAAAAGCTAAATTTTAGCCCTAAATTTAAATTTTAAAAAGTCGGTTTTTTCCTTTTTTTAAATTACTTTTTTGGTTAATTTATGAATTTTCTCCTTATTTCTTTCCGTTTATAATTTCAAATCTTTCTTCTCTAATGTCACCTTATTTTTCTATAATTAAAACAAATTTTACCTTTTTATCAATGTATTTTATTTGAGAATGCCATAGGGAATAGAGGGCTCTTCGGACGCGTAAACTTTTCATTGGCCGCGTAAAGCTGCCTTTCAACGCGTAATCAGGACAAGAGCCGAATAGAGTAAGTGACATTGAATAAAAAGAAGAGCGTTATAAATACTAGAAAATAAACAAAAATATACTTAAATAAAATTTTTTCTAATTAAAATATAGACTGAGCAACAAATAGCTCTCCTTCTTGAACTTCTAATACGTCGCAATCAACGACAAGATGATCGAACTAATCAAAATAATCAGGTCTATTTTTTGGATTGCTGTATTTAAATTAGAGCTGCCGACCACGAACGAATTTATTTTTTTTCATATAATGGTTGTGACATAGCATGACATCCCATTTTTATTTTTTTTAATCAGACTCCGCAACAACTTGGCAAAGAAAATTTACCACCACCGCCACCTCCACCACCAACCATTTGAGAGGATTTTATTATGATATAAAAAGAATGTCAAATTTAAGATGAATATTTATTTTAAATTTAGTTTTAAAAATTTATTGGCATTGAGTTTGTTGGTCAAAAAATTTAGAACTTTTTTTTAAATTTTAGTAACTGAAATAAATTAAAATGTTGAGACAAATTAAATTCTATAAAAAAAATTCAATTTCTAAATTAAAAATAAAAGCAAAATGAATAAATTTTAGCAAAGTTGAGTTTGAGTTTAATATACTGTATATTAAACTTCCTTTCCTCAGACACCCTCCTTATTAATTACTAGAGAACTGATTTTAATTGACATATGTAGGTTCGCAAAATATGGCCATAAAATATTGAAATAGATTGAAATGTAACTTTGTTCAGAATAATAATATCGAAAAACTAATAGCATATTTGGGCTCCTCTTGCTTGTTTGCAAAAAAAAATTTATTTCAATAAAATCCTGTCTCTATTAACTACCCCTTCAGCGAGTAGTAAACAATTACCAGAGCTAAAATTCTTTTCACTTTTTAGGGACATAGAGTGGTGGTACCATAGAGTGGTACCGTCACTTAGTTCGACGCACTATATCCTTTATTTTAAATTTTCTTTTGATCAAGGAAAAAAAAAACATTCTAATTCTAATGATTTAAACTAGAATATTTTTTTGTTTAATTTTAACCTCGAGTAAAATGTAATTTTTTTATATTTTTTTACCCAGTATTGATTTTGTTTATTTCTTCGATGAATGAAAAAATGGGAGAGAAAAAGAATGGAAAAAGTAGAGGAAAATGCTGTAATGGGCTTTTGTTGGGTGCAGAAAAATTTTAAATTTGGTTGAGCTACTGCAGCCGCTTCTGTCATTTTTGCACTTTTCATCCAACTAGATATTTATTTTAGTTGGGTTAACGTTGGGGTGGTCAGAGTGCCATCCTTTACCCAAAAATTGCGGCGAAGTTAAAATAAAAATTTTTTAATTTAACTAAATGGAATTTTTTAAATATTTTATTTGGATATTTGGTGTTTTCTTTAAATTTTATTAATTGAGACTTTAACTATTGCCAGATTAAAGATTTTAACAATAACTGGCTTATGGTCTTTGAATAGTAAATTTTTTAGGTTTATTAAGTGCTAGATTATTTTTATATTTTAGGTTAAGAATTAAAGATTTTCAGTAGTTGCTTAATTGAGATAATTATAATATTTTACTTAGGTATCTGAGTAACAAAAGGATTTTCATTATTTTATTGCTAATATTGCCCATTGTTTTGTTTATTTTTGAGACAAAATTAGTCTTTTTAATTTTGGGAAAACTTTTGCAATTAAATTTCGAATGTTTTATTTTTTACTTTTTTCCAATTGATTTATTTTTAGAGTGAATAATTCTGGAAGAATTATGTAATTTTATAAACAATTTATATTAAATATATTATCACAATATATTGATAGATAAATATTAATAGTTAGATAGAATGGTGAATAAATAAATAAATAAATATTTATTTTCACTATTAAATCACTTTCAAATTAAACCAGTCAATCGGTCACCAGCCGGCGATTAACTAACTACAAACAATTAAATAACTAAACGACTTTTCACTTGTCCTTCATATAAATTCACTCTTCTAAATAAAATATTTTTGTGCATTTTTGTTTAGTATTTAACGCCTGTTTTAATTAATTTAAAATAAAATATAATCATCATTTTTGTTGGTTGCCTTTAAAAGTTTTTCGAAACAGAAAAAAATGACTACACAATAATTTTATAAAAAAAAAGTAAAAAAATGTTTGAAGAGGTGGATTTGCAGTCATTAAAGGTTTTGTTGATAAAGAAAATTTTTTAGAAAATGTTGATAAAATCTTGGCTAATCCAACTTAAAATAAACACAAATTTATTAAATTTGTGTAGATATTCAAAATACAGTTGGACCTAATAATAAAATAAATCCTTGAAACAAAAATAATGGCCAATCAACTTTTGGAATACATATAATAGTATTGTTAATTCTATAAATTCCAAAATTAATTGTTTCGGGAATAGTTATTTGGGAACATCCCAAAACTTGGAAGATCTTTTTAGCAATTTTAAACAACCCCCCCCCAAATGACAGTCCCACACACAAATAGAGATTTTTAATAATAAAAAAAACTCTTTAAAATAAGAAAATCATTTCTCCTTTTGGAAGTTTTTTTCAAAATTTAAAGGATCCATCGGGTATTTTCGATTTAATTGAAGTTGTTGGAACTGGAACATATGGGCAGGTTTACAAGGTTAATAAATTAATTTTTGGAAATTATTAGTGATTAATTCTATAGGGGAAACACGTAAAAACTGGGTCTTTGGCTGCAATAAAAATAATGAATATAAATGAGGATGAAGAAGAGGAGATTAAAGCTGAGATTAATATGCTCAAAAAGGTTGGAAGAAAATAAATTTTTAGCTTAAATTTTTGTGCCTAAAAAGTGAAATGTTGGTAGTTGATAAAACTAAATATTGTTAAAAATATTAAGTAATATTTTTGACACTTGACGGGTTTAGAATTTAGAATCTTTTTAAAATAACCCTGATTCATATATTGAGCTAGCAATAAAAAACTTTTTTTGAATTATTGGATCTGCATTTATCTAAATAAATAAAAGTACAGATTCAAAGTTTATGAGAATTAAAAGGAGTATTAAATTTCAAAAAAAAATTTAAAAATCTTATCTTAATTCTAAAAAATTTTTATTTTATACATATATTAAAGTATTCTCATCACCCAAATATTGCCACTTATTATGGGGCCTTTATCAAAAAATTGCCTTCTTCAACAGGCAAACATGATCAACTTTGGCTTGTAATGGAGTTTTGTGGTAGTGGAAGTGTTACAGATTTAATTAAATCTTCAAAAAGTGGTTTTCTTAGAGAAGAGTGGATTGCTTATATTTGCAAAGAGATTCTTGGGGTTATTTTTTAAATAAAAAATTCTGAATGATAGACTGCCTGGGAAAACATCTTATAATTAGAGACCGGACCAAGAAGAGATCCGAAACAAAAATCTTAGTCATCAAGAAGCGATATCTTGCAAGATATTAATCTCTATTTTCGTATAACCCTCACAGGCCGTCTCTACTTAGAAATAGTCTAAATATCATAATAAATTAAAAATATTTTTTTAATAATTTTTAGGGTTTAAGCCATCTTCACAAAAGCAATGTTAGTCATTATATTTTAATTAAATAATTTTTTAAATTTTTTAGGTCATCCATAGGGATATTAAAGGCCAAAATGTCCTTTTAACGGATAATGGTGAAGTTAAATTAGTTGATTTTGGGGTTAGTGCACAATTAGATAGAACTGTTGGAAAGAGAAATACTTTTATTGGAACACCTTATTGGATGGTAATTTAAAAAATAGTTTAAATATTCGATAAGAAAAATTTTAGGCTCCAGAAGTAATTGCTTGTGATGAAAATCCCGATTCTACATATGACTCTCGCAGTGATCTCGTAATATTTTTTCAAAATTAAAACAAAAAAAAATAATTTTTAGTGGTCTCTCGGCATTACAGCCTTAGAAATGGCTGAAGGTTTTGTACAAAAAATTTAGTTTTGAAAATTTTTTGAAACTTTCAGGGCACCCACCGCTTTGTGATATGCATCCAATGGTTAATAAAAATTAAAAATAAATATTATTTTTATTTTAAGCGTGCTCTATTTTTAATTCCTCGCAACCCTCCTCCAAGATTAAATAAAAAATCTTCCAAAAAATGGTCAAAAAAGTTTGATTCGTTTATTGAAGTAAAATAATTTTTAAAATTTATTTTTAATAAATTATATTTAAAGTGTATATTGGAGAAAGACTACACGAGGAGGCCTTTTACTGATAATCTTATTAAGTTAATAACTTAAAGGAACAATTAGAATATTATTTTATTTAATAGGCATGCCTTTATTCGAGAACAAATTCCCGAAAGAGTTGTTCGAAGTGCAATTAAAGATCATATTGATAGACATAGAAAAGTTTTAAGAAAAGGTTTCTAAAAAATATTTTTTTGAATTTTATTTTAATTTTAGAAGAAACAGAATACGAATATAGTGGAAGTGATGATGATGAAATTCGCATAAACAATAATCTTGAAGCTATATTAAATAATAATAACAATAATAATAGAACAAAACGTTGGTTGTTAATTAAATTAATTTTTTATATGTATAGCTTTTTTTAAAAAAACCCCATTCCAAATTTTCGCGAATTGAGACGGCACTCTCTGATATAAAGACTAAAAAAGTTTTGAGTTAGTTTATCTCCAGTTGCGGATAATCATCGAGCTCTGGCGATTTTTTGTGTTGAGAGTTAATCACCAATACGGTGTCCTATTCTTGATTAAGAAGACCTGATAAATTTATTCTATTATGTACTCCTAAAATACGGCCCCTGACAGTATAAGTAAGAAACCTAATTAGTTTTAGAAAATAATATTTCCTTTGGATTGTTCGGCATAAATTTATAATTAAATTGGCATTTCCTTTAGTATTACTTCAAACAACTGATAAACAAAATCTTGATTACATACTAAAATAAAAGTCCTTTAAAAAATTTTTAGATTCACCCAGACCAAATCCTTCCAATGGCACAAAAGCCGTAGAAGAACCTCCAACAATTAAAGGAGTTGGTGGATGTGATTTGAGAAAAGAATTTCAAAGAATTCAAGAGAATAATAGGTCCGCATTTGAAGACGACAAACCACTTTTACATCTTAAAAGAATTGCCCAACCACCGCAATCTAATACAACACCAGAACAGTCTTTTAAGGACAACAATGGAAATAATGCTGGTGTTGTTAGAATGAGGCCTCCTCAGAGTTTTGGGGCTGTTAATAGTGGTCTCCACCCTAATAATAAACAACAACAACCTAAACTTGCCAGCCACCCGCATCGTTCTTCACGTAAAATTTTGATAGATTTTTCTAAGAACAAATTTTTAAAACTCCTGGATATTGAGGGCAACATTTAAATCCTTAAATTTTTTTCTAAAATATTACATCCTTTCTGATGTAAGGTAGAAAAAGTGATTTTAGACTAGAAACTTGTACGGGAAATAATTATTCTTGATGTTATTTTTACTCTTCTTAACTTTCAGACTATCAACCTCAACAATCCTCTCAATATAATCGCAGTAGAACATCAAATAGCCATCATACTCAGCAACATCCAGCAGCACCTCATTTAGCTGAATTAGCAAATAATTATGATAGAAAAAAGAAAGAACAACAATTACAACAAAAACAACAAAGAATTGGTGCCATTCTCCCTCCTCAACAACCTTTATCTTCCCAAAAACAACATCAACAACAAAGGAGATGTGTAGTTCCTAATCGTTCTTCACAACAACAACAAAGTGATGTTAGTAGACGTTCAATTGTTTCTGGACAAAAACAGATAATTGGAACAAGTTTACAGCAACAATTGAGAAAGGAATCTCATCAACCTGAAGTGAGAAAATAATTTTAATTTAATTCAGAAGAGTGAAATTATGTATTTACATACACACAAATACTGATTTCTTTCGTCAAATATATTAATTTCAAATTATTTAAATAAATTTAAATTCTATAGGATTTGGATATTTTGGCTGATGAACTGCGTGAACTCTCTAAGGTTAATTCAAAACATCCATCTGTACCTAAAATTTCTGCTGCAAAAATAACAACGAGCGGTAGCTCCAAAATGACACAGCCTCTTCCCTTTCTTTCTTCTGACTCCGAGCCTCCATCTCCTCCCCCTAGAGGTAAAATACCGCCATGGAAGAATTCTAATCGGACTTTCAAAAAAATCTTAGACTCTTCAATGGTTGAAACATTTTCTGAACGGAAGGTTTTGCTTAATGAGAAACGCCAACAACGTTCACTTGACGCCTCTCGTCAACATGACAAACCTCTTCCACCTACACCAACCAAACGAGGAAATATTGTTGGTGGTGCTAATAATGAAGAAGATGAGGAAAAAGGAACACTTGTTGTGCATCGACATGCTTCAGTTTCCCCGCAAAGACGACAACGTAGCAATAGTTCAAATCTTTTGCATGTCCGTTCTGATAGATTATTACTTTCTGGTTCGCGTACAAGCCTTAACCAACAATTGGCCAATATTGGAAAACAATCTTCAGCGCCTGAAGTTTGAATTTTTTAGGGATACCATAATGATATGTATTTATATACATGTATCACATTTTATATTTTAAGTGCCAACATTCAGCATTTGAACATGAACAAGATGAAGATTCTTCTGACTCAGAAGAAGATGAAGTTGAAGTCACTAGTATAGAAGTTGAAAAGGTAAATAAATAAATATTTACATTTTCTTCATTAACAGCCAAAAAATGCTTGTGAATCAATTACTTGTCTTCAAAATCATGAACCTGCTCCTGCTATCTACATTAATCGTAATCCTTATGATAAACAAGGAAATGATGATGGAAGAGATGAGGATGAAGAACAACATCAACAGGAAGATGAGGATGAAGAAGAGGAAATGGTTGAAGACCCTATACAAACTCTTCGTCGACCACCTCATCAAGTGTGTAGAGGGAGGGGAGGGGATTTTACAAGTGAAATTATTTTTAATCAGACATTTAATTTTTTGAAGATGTTCACTTCTTCTATGGAACAACAACATTCACTAATTGAATCCCCTGCCTCATTCTCTCCTGCAGATAAATTTCAGCAGAGGGAACGGGAAAAATCTTTCATCGGCTTTTTTGGTAATTATCCGTCTGGTGTTATGCCTCCAGCTTTTGGAGGTGGAGGTTCCCATGGATCACCTCCAATTTTTGGTTCAGCCTCAGCAGGGAGTGGTGGAGCAGCAGGAGGAGGATTAATGTTTGGAGCTGTAGGTACAATTAATCGTCCTGGGAGAATAATTAATCCTAACCAGGTATTTTTTAAATTACTTTCAAAAAATATTCATAAACAGATACACGTAAATGTCAACCCTGATGGTGCTACTCCAACAGATGCAGACGCACCTGAAATTCGAAAATACAAAAAAAGATTTAATGGAGAAATTCTTTGTGCTGCTCTTTGGGGCGTTAATTTACTTATTGGTTTTTAAATAAAAATTTTAAAAAATCTTTTCAAATTAAACAGGAACGGACACTGGTTTAATGTTATTAGACAGAAGTGGACAAGGAAAAGGTTTGGGAATTCACTAAATAATTCTTAAATAATATTTTTTAGTTTATCATTTGGTTACTCGAAGGCGTTTTGACCAAATGACTGTTCTTGAAGGTCAAAATATTTTGGTCACTATTAGTGGCAAAAAACGGCGAATACGGGTCTACTATTTGTCTTGGCTTAAACAGAAGATACTTCGAACTGAAGGGGTTATTATTTATTTAATTTATAAATATGGTATTTAATACCGGCATTACTTGATTTCGTCACTAGTTGTTTTCGACAGAAGGTGATTTTAACAGTGGGTGTAGATGTTTAGGCTTAAAGTTCAAAGTGCCTGCAAGTTAATTCGACAGAAGCTGATTCCGACAGAGGAATCTATAATTCTTTTTTACATTTGTGAGCTGGGAATAAACCTCCTCCTTTTTAGTCTTAAGTTTATACTTAATTTTTCTTCTCTTTTAAAGTTACAACAATCTGATAAAAGAAATGGTTGGATGAATGTTGGAAATTTACAGGGAGCTAGCCATTTTAAAATTGGTAATAAATAATTTAAAATTAAATATAAATTATTATTTAATTTTTTACAGTCCGGCATCAACGTATAAAATTTTTAGTTGTTGGTATAGAAAATTCTTTATCAATTTATGCTTGGGCTCCTCGTCCATACAGCAAATTTATGGCATTTAAAGTTACAGACAAAATTATTTAAAAAATATTTTCCATTTTTAGAGTTTTGGACAACTTACTCATTCCCCTTTAGTTGTTGATTTAACTATTGAGGAAGATGTTAGGCTTAAAGTACTTTATGGAAGTGGTACTGGCTTTCATGCTATTGACTTGGATTCTGGTTTTTTTTTTGGAAAAAATTTTTTCGAATTTAAAAATTAAAACAATATTTTTTAGCTTCAATTTATGACATTTACACACCTCCACAAACAATTGCCAATCAAGAATTAACCCCTCATTGTATTGTTATTTTGCCTGATACTTGTGGAATGCAATTACTTCTTTGCTATAATAGTTAAATATTTTGAAAAATATTTTTAAAAAATTAATAAATTAAAGATGAAGGTGTATATGTTAATACTTATGGAAAAATTACAAAAAATGTTCAACTTCAATGGAGTGAAATTCCTTCTTCTGTTGGTAAGTTGAATAAAGAAAATATTATTTTTTGGGATAAAGAGGAGAGGGGAAAATTCAAAAAAGTCAAATCCCCCAACTTTAGAGGACGGGGAAAAGCCTCTTTTAATTGGCAAGAAGAAAAGATCATTTTTGAATTCAAATTAGAGTTGGAAAATATTTTGGATATCGAAAAAGAACCAAAAACTTTTAATTAAAAAAATTTTCCCAATATTTATTTAGCCTATATTTCAACCAACCAAATTATGGGCTGGGGAAATAAAGCAATTGAAATTAGAAGTGTTGAAACTGGTCATCTGGATGGTAATAAATAAATAAATTTATTTAATTTTCCTCTTCCACTTTTTTAGGTGTTTTTATGCACAAAAAAGCACAAAAATTAAAATTTTTATGTGAACGAAATGATAAAGTTTTCTTTTCTTCAGCAAAGGGAAGTTCTTCACAAATTTATTTTATGGCGCTAAATAACAAAATTAATAATTGGTGAATATTTAATTAAATTCTTTCAATGCCTCTTAATTAATTAATTTTATATATTTATGCATATTGTACATGTTTTTCTTTATTTAATGCCAAATTAATTAGATAATAAATAAATTTGTTTTTTTGAATTTTTAAAATTATATTTTAATTTGTTTATTTAAATTGGTGTGTTTTTTGAGGGAGTCAATCCAGAAACAAACATCCTGAAAAACTGCCCCTGGAAATCAAATGCCCAAGTAATGAGAAGCTAATAAAATCTTAATTTAATCTGGAAAATTGGAGAGATAAAGTGTAGGTTAATTAAACTGTCAAATAGGAGTAAATTTACCCACTTTTCTTGTGATAAATAGTAGAGAATGTTAATTATACTATAAAATAAATTCAAAAAAATTTAAAATTACTCTCTAATTTCCTAAATTTTCTAAAATACCCCTAAATATACCTACCCATTTTTTCCCATTTTAAAACGTAAACTAAAATTTATTTTTTTATTCTTTAGGTTGTTCATTTTATTTTCGTTATTTGATAATAAATCAAAAAATGGGCTCTTTATTTTAGTGAAAAATAAAAATAAACATGTTTTTTTCACGTTAAATAATTATTTTTTAAAGTTTAAAAAAATAAGGAATTTAGAATTTAAAAACAACAATAAACAACCCCTACTCCTTCCGTTATTTCAAAATTCGATTTGTTAATTACCATAATATAAGTGATAATTTTTGATAATTAAATGATAATTTAACTTTCATAAAACAATAACATTGAATCAATAAATTTATTTGAGTTTATGATATATGTATGTATAAAGTACATATTTTAATCGCATAATATATTTATTTATTTTAAAAAATTCCCCCCATCAATCAATCATTATTTGCAAAATATTATTTATTAATGATTATGCATATTAGAAAAGTTCATGATTTTTGGAGGCTCAAAATTCGAAAAAAATCCGGCAGCAGTCGACGCAGAAATATTCATCGAAGAGAAACACTTGTCTTTAAGCAACTTCTGAATGAAACTATAAATTAATTTGTAACAAAATTTCCAAAAAAATGTTTTTAATAAAACATCCAAAATATCTAGTCACACACCTCAAAGTTAGTTTGTCCCAAAGTTTTGGGAATAAACATAGCTGCGGCTTTTTCCGATTCTTGAAGAATTGTGGGAGTGCCAACATTTATTTTGGCATTTCCTGTTGAAGAAATATTGTTTTTATCCATTTGGCTACCTACAAGGCTTGCATGGACAGGATTACATAATGGAGGTATTATGGACATTTTTGAGGAGAGAAAAGAAAATATTTTTGTTTTCCTTGGCTGAAATAAATAATTATTTTTTAATTAGTAAATATTGTAAATATTTACCCGAATTTGTTTTTCCTTTTTTTTTAATTATTTACTGAATGTATTCAGAGTAACGGCAACGAAGCTGTAATTCGCAGACTCCTAAAAACAAAATATTTATTTTAAAGAAAATTTATGATAGTCTTCTATTTTGTAGCTTTCTATTTAAAAATACAGAAAGAGTTAGTTTAGCCGCCAGGGAGGATTTGAACATGCGACCTCCTCGTAGTTATTGCTAGGCGCTTTCACTCACATACAGGAGCTCCTCTACTATTGAGCTACCGTGGCATCGACTAATGCTTAACCTCCGCCTAAGCGTTTTAAATGCTCTAGGTGAATCATCCTTACAATCCTAATGTATTTTTAAATAATTTTTAGCTAATCTTTCCCCAACTTTCAAAAAATTATTAATCTCTTACCAAAACAAATCACAGAAAGAGAAGTCCAATCGTTTAGGGAAAGAATTGGCTCAATCGTGTCAAAAAATCCAAATGCACTCTTTTCTAGTTGTGCAAATTCCGGCAGTTTTGATTGGAAGGAATAAATTGTTTTATTTATTTCCAACTTTTCCTTATTTTGGCCAATTAGCATTTGATTATTAAAAGTACTCTTTATAAAATATTTTTTATTTTATTTTTAATAATTGAAGATAAATTCATTAATTAATTATTATCTGACAAAAATAAAAAAATATTTTAGAAAAGAATTAAGTTAAAAATATTCGGCAAAATGTTAATTAGAAATTAAAAATATTCAATCTCTATTAACAGATAAAAATTAAAATTAAAAATTAAATGAAAGAAAATTTTGTTTTCAAAAATATTTAAATATAACAAAACTTTGGAGTGATCAAAATGGGCGAACATGTACATACATTTAATATTACAAGTAATAAATGATTTAATAATTGGGAATTCCCAATATATTAATTAATTAAAAAATTTCCCCGTAAATTAACTGGTTTACCAAAAAATATTTTTAAAAAAAAAAGTAAATGAATTGGTGATTCCCTTTAATTTTAAATAGTAGAAGGAGAGTATTTCCCCCGCAATTAAAATAAATTGCTGCTGCATTAAAGTGAGACGACGTTAGTAATAATGTTAATGTTCCCCGCTTGGCGATATATTAAAGGGAAAAAAAGTTGGTAATCAATGTCAGGTGATTGAATAAAATATTTTAAATAAACTAAATGTCTTTAAAAAGTGAAAAAAAACCCTAGACAGAATTTTTTAAAAATTGGTGCTGTCCTTGGATTTTTTGTAAAGTTATTGTCTTTAAAATTTAAATTAAAAAACATTCAAGTATTTTTAAAAATTCCTTAGAATTTTTAAATCTCATAACTTTCCTTTCTTATACTACAACAATATACCTTTTTATTTTTTATCAATAATAAATTTGAGGGCTCCAATCGTAAAAAATGTTGTGTAAGTACAAAAAGTTCAATTTTAAGTAAAAAAAAGGAGGGGGGAGAATTTTCAAAATATAAGTACACTACAAAAATACATTTAAAAAATTTTATTTTTTTATTCTTCTGTTATCGGTAATTTCCCAAGTTCTTTTTAATTGTTCAAAATGTTTTTCAGCTTCATTTCCACCCAATTTTATTTTTGCTTCATTTTGTAAAGAAAATCCGTTATAAAAATACGCATTAATTGGTGGCGATGTTGAGGGGCCAATTCTTGTATTTGTTGGGGATTTTATTTTAAATATTAATGATTTTGATTTAAACAAAAATGAAAAAAAGTTGCGACGAAGATATGGATGATTTCTGTTAAAATAAAATTAATTAATTTTAAAAATTGTTTCGAATATTCTTCTTTTAAAGTAAAAAATCTGTTGAGAGGGGGGGGGGGATGGAATGTAATTTTCTGGTTCTGAGAAATTCTGTAAAAGAATATTTTTTAATCGGATTTGTGACCGTTAAAAGACAAGAAGAATAGTTGCCCTAATTCTAACAGGGGCTGGTCAAAACTGAAAATCAGTCATTCTGTTTTAAAATTTTCAAATCGGATCGGGGGAAAGAAATTATTTTTTCAATTTTAACAAAAAATCGCAAAATTTTTGAATTAAAAAAAGGGTTTAAAACTAAAATTTCTTTTTTGTCGTTCTAAATATTTTCCCAAAATAAAAATAAAATTCCGAATTTTTAAAAATTATTCTCAACTAACAATATCATAGTTAATTCAATCGCAAAATTAGTACAAGCAATTGTACAATAAAACAAAGCATCCAACAATCCATAATAAAATGTTGCTGATGGAGATGTTGCTTTAGTTCCAAAAATTTGCAGATAAAAAGCCCAATTAATTAATGCCCCAATTAAAATATTAAAAAAATGAATTAATAATGTTGGAGTTAATTGTTTTGCTGTTCGAATATTTTCTACTAACTATGTTTAAATTAAAATATGTATAATCTTTTAAAAATTTTTTCTACTAGCTATCAGTTTAATAAACAATTTTTTTACTCTAAAAGGGGGAAAATATTTATATTTTTTGTAATTTAAGGGGTTTTATTTATTTCATTTTAAAATATTTTTTTGTTAACCTGATATCTTTCAGTAAGACTATGTCTAAAAAATAACTGATTTTGAAATATTTTATCGTTATAATGCCACATCCAAGTAAATATTATAATCTCTAATATTGCGAAGATAAGTACAAAACTCCAAGTTGCCAAATTAAGAATTATACTGCTGACAGAATTGAGGGAATTTAATAATGCAAGAATAAACTGAAAAATATTTTAATTAATTAATTTAAAATTTATATCCCTAATCTGCTACATATTAGAGATGAGTCTAACGTATGCTTAAATTATCTTTCTGTTTATCTTCTCTTTCTACCACCTTCCGCTTTTTAAGATATTTAAGGGCTATATCAATTAATTTACCTATACCTTGCTATAATAATTAATAAAATATTTCAATCAATTTTTACAAAACTTTAAAAACACTTACAACAATTGGAAACCAAATAAAATTAAAATATGGCTTCTTCCAATTTTCATAATTTTTAACAAAATAAGTAGCTAAAGCCCTTTCAATAACCAGTACATGTGCTACAAAATTTCTGAAAAAAGCAGCAAACCCAAAAATTAAAACAAATTCTTCAGGGCCTCCCCAAAGAATATCTCCACTAATTAATTTAGAGGACAAAACAAGAATTCGACCTTTTTAAAGAAATTATTCTTTTATTTAATTATTTCTAAATTACCCAAACTTCTACAAAAAATACAAAAACTTTGACATAACAAAATAAATTTTAAATTTTTGTGAATTAAAGAAGTTTTTAAAATTAAAATAAAATTAAAAGTAGAAATTGGGCAAGTAGCTAATAAATGAATAATTAATTCTGTTATGTTTAAAATTAATAGACAAGAATATTCTGATCCGTTCATTTTTAAATTGAAGCTAAAAATTCTAAAAAAATATTTTTTTAGTTTCAAAAATAAAAAAAATTGTTATTTGGGAATATTAACTAATAATTAAAGAGAAAATTTTGTAGATAAATAAGTAAATCTATTTTTAATTTCCAAATTTTGTGTGTGTGAAAATAATTACATATTTAAAGTTAATCATTATAATTAAATAAATATAACAATTAACAATAAACGTATTATGTAAAAATAAATATAATTATAAATAAATACGAAAATAATTTTTAAATTTAATTTAAAAATTTTATTTAATAAAAACTATTAATCATAATTCTTTAGAAAACTCGAAAAAAACAATAATTTAATAAAAAATTATTTTTCTAGCTGAATGAGGGAAAATTTTATTTGATTTGAGAAAATTTTTCAAAAATCAAGAAAAAAATCCGAAAGAAGCCCTTTAGAAAGACATAGATTTTTGTTACAAATTTTAAATATCTAAACTTTTTTAATTTTTTAAAATTAACATAAACAATTTAAATTAAAAATATATAACTAATTTCCGTATTTAAAAAATAAAAGGTTTTATTTTTAAATAAATAATTCAAAAATTTATATTTCAAAAATAGATTTATTTATTTATTTATTAAAAATTAATTAAATAGAAAGCTTAAAAATAAACTTGTTTGACACAAGCATTTTAATGTTTTAATTGTTAATTAAACAAAAAAATTATATTTTTAGAATTAAATAAATAATTAATTAATTTTTAATTTTTAAGAATGACTGAAAAAAAAATTTAATAAAATTTATTTAAATAATTTATATTTTCTAAATTAAAATTGTCTGAATAAATTAAAAACTACAGTAATTAAATACTTATTTAAATTTATGGCTGAAAAAATTTATTTTAAATTTATTTATTTGAGAAAACCACTAGCGCATTAGCGCTTATAATGATAATAAAAATATAATGATGATACAATTAAGTTATTTATGGTAAGCTTATAAGCTTTCCTCCACTAATGGGCAACCAACATAAGAATTGCAAATTTTATTTAATTGTGGGTATAGGAAAATTGAGATTCAACTGTAATTATTATTTTATAATGTTAGAGCATTGAAGTTTCTTGGAAATTATTTTGCCTTTTTTATTAAAAAATATTTTATTTTTGAATATTTATATATTTAAATATTCCATCATTTATATTTTTTAATTTAAAGTTTATTTATAATTTTTTAGATTTTTTAAAGTTTAGATAAAATCACGCAAGACAAGAAAAGTTTAAGAAATAAAACTAAAATAAATAAATATATCCTTGTGGAGAACAATTGTTAAAGTTAATTTGGTAAACTGTAATTATTTTCTTAAAATTTAAATTTTTTGATTAAAATTAATTTTTAATTTGAATATTAAAAAACTTAAAGCTAAAAAATTACTTTAAAATTTCACTAAATTAACTTAAAAATTTGCTTTTTTACATTTTAAGTAAAAAATATTTTAACAAAAAATAATTTAAAATAAAAAAAGAGAATATTTAATTTTGTATTTATTAATGAACTTAAAGAGATTTTGTATAAAGTTTAACTTTTTGAAAAAAATGAAAAAAAATTGAATAAATTAACTTAAAAGTATTTAATTTAAATAAAAGTAATAATTTAATTTAAAATTTTAATTTCAATTTTTCATAAAATATTAATAAAAAAATTCTTAAATTCTTTGAGAATTAAAAATGATTTTTTTAATCTTTAATTTGTCATACATACATGTCTTTATTTTAAATGCGTGCATATTAATGTTCAGTTTCGTGCCAGCCCCTTTCATAAATAAACTTTTTAAAAATGTTTTAAGTACAATTATAAGGCTAAATTTTTTTAAATTATATTTAGAAAATTAATATAACAGAAAATATGGCAAACTTTTAATTCGATGTAAAGGTTGATTAAACAAATATAAACTGAATAAAAACCGAAAATGTTTATTTCATAGAATTAATATAAAACTAAATATAAAACTAAATATAAATTATTTCAAACAATAAAACTAGTTTTTGCCAAACTTTTTCTATTCAATATATTGAATAAAAATAAAACAGAACATTTATTCCTTTCAAGTAACTAAATTCACCTGTTAATATTTTACTTTTCAGATCTCTTTTTATAAGTCTGTAATTAGTTTTTCTTGCACCCATTATAAATAAAAGAATTTAATGGGCAATTTAATATACTTATTATTTAAGAATTTTAAATACCAAGGAAACTTTATTTGCAAATTAAATGCTTAGGTTTAAAGAAATATTCTTTTTCTATAATTAATTTTAAGACAAGAAATGCTTGCTTGGCTCAATGCCCTTAGCAAACTAAGATTGGCAATTTGACAAAATAAGCCATGGCATATGCATGCCGCCACGAAACTTGGCAAATCTAACAGTACATGGTTCTCCCAGACAATTTTTCCCGATTTCTAATTAAAGCAAAAATCGACCACCCCCCTCCTCAGCCGGGCTCTATTTTAAATACTAAGAAATTAGACTAAATTTAGCAACTCTTTTATAAAATTTATTTACACGACAAACCAATTAAAAGCAGCAGATGTAAAAAATGTAGAAAGGAAAATCAGAATTAAAGGTGAAAGTGGCAAAAGAAACTTTTTTTGATTTTAAAAAATAATATATAATGTACACGTTCAAAAGACTTAAAAGGAAGGCAACATTTGAAAAGGATTCTGATCTGGCGAGAATGGAAAAACTTAAAAAATGAGCTGAGACAGACAGAAAAAATTATTTACAAAAGGAAATTGTTCTTTAATGAGCAAAATTAGAAAATTTTATTTACACAATTTAAAAGCACAACGAAGGAGTGGATGCTTTGAGGAATTAGTCCATAAAATTTTTAAAAATTGAGTCTTTGCTGTATATACCTACTTCCTCCTAGTTGTGCCAATTTTTGATTTAAATTTAACAAATTAAACTTAAAATATGAATGATAAAATTAGGTTTAAGAAAGAATGCACCCAGAAATATTAGAAAAATTGAACCAACCCCTCAGCCTTATACACAAAATAGTTAAAATAAATCCAGGTACATAAAAGCAATAAAGATGTAATAGAATATAAAAAACAAACACAAGTAGACAAAAATCCTTAATTCTCCAAAAAAACATAATTAATACGTATGCTTTAAAAACATAACCTATTTTTAGTTCGGTGTTTGTTTTTACGATTTTAAGTACAAACATTTAAAGAAAAGAACACAAAAATACAAATTCTCAGAACTTATTTAAGGTGATATTCTTTAGTTATTTATGGCTTTGTACATGTGGTGACATTAGTAGGAGGCATCGAATGTGAGTGAGGTTGCTCGGGAACCCAATGTGGTTGTTGCATATGATGGCCATATCGCTGTTGTTGTTTTAGATAAGGGGCGGAATTTGTATGTACAGGTGTTAGCAATGGCTGTTGCTGTGGTCGGTTAAAATTGTTACCTCCAGTACTTTGTACCTAAAAATTCAAAACGTGAAATTCAAGGTGTTCTAACAAAAAAGAAAATTTTAAGGCACCTGTGGTAACGGTGGCGGTTGGAGTTGTTGTTGTTCACCAATATGATGCCCAATATTTAAAGGCGGATTTGTGTATGTATTGCCATATTGAGGATTACTAACTGGCGTTGTTTGTTGTTGACTGATAGATGGGAAAAGACTTGCAATTGGTTGATTTTGTTGAACCTGACCACCAACATTAGCAAATTGGTTAGATGAAGCTACAGCTAATTGTTGCTGTTGAGAAGCTAGAGAATAGTAATCTGCCTTTAAAATAAAAATGTTTTGTATTTATGCTGTGATCGCTAGATGGGAATTTTTCGGGTCTAAACGGAAACGTTTATAGTAACACAAATGGTAATATATGAAAATCATTTGACATGTTTAGGAGACCAGAAACAAAAACCCTTAGCTATAAATATATTACCGGGTTATATACAATAAAAGGCTGTTGATAGTTACTAGCTGCAGCACCAAATGCAGCTGGCATATAATACTGCACACCATAATAAGGCGGATAGACAAGTTGTGCAGCCTGTTGCTGCTGTGAAGGCTGAAACATTTGTTGGGTTTGCTGTTGTTGTAGATGTTGTAAAGGCAAATCGGTCGAGGTCAGAGATGGCAAAGGTCGAGGAGTTTGGCCAGGTGTTACGGTTGAATCACTTGTACCGACAATGCTGGATGGACCATTAGCAATTCTTAGCTGATTGAATTGGGCGTTGAGATCTTTTATAAATAATTTGATTAATAAAATTTCATAAGAATCAAAAAGAATATAAAATTCGAATATTTAAAAACCAGCAATAGGTCCATAATGCTGTGGTGTATATTGTGAAGCAGACAGGCGTCCACAATTTGCAAGAACTGGACTGAAAGCTGCTAGAGCCGAATTTGACATTGCTGGGAATATTATCTAAAAATCAATTATATTAACTATATTTTACAAATCAAAATAACCGGATCCATTAAAGGTGTAGTAGCTGATAGTAAAGGTGTAGCTGGTAGTTTCGCCTTGTAAAATCGTCCATCATCATTGTAGAATGAATGAAGCGAAGGAGTTGAACGTTTTAATTTTCGACTAGTACTATCAGCCAGCTTCACAATTAAAGGTTGCAATCCTTGAGCCAAACGTTTCCCATGAAAAGCATCAATAATTGAAGCACAAGACTCTGATGTAGTCATACGGCAAAAACCAACACCTCGACTCGAACCGTCAAGATTTCTAAATTAAATATTTAATCTGTAGTAATTAAAATTCTAAAGACGAATAAGATGGAAAAGAAAGAACTAAAAAAAACTTATTAGACGCAAAAAACTTCGAAAATTAACTACATCATCAATTGAGATGAAATACAATTTGTATTTTAAAAGGTAACCTAAGAATCCGTGAACTAATCACTGGTCCATGGACTTGAAGCATTTCAGATAATTTTTCCTCATCAAAATGAGAAGGGAGATTCGCAATATAAAGATTGGTTGGATCTTGCTCTTGTTGCTAAAAATTATTTTAAATGAAAATTATCATAAAATTAAACCTTTGCCATCTGTGCATGTATTCGATTATCCCATTCGGGAAGGCCAGAAATTGCAGCTAATGCAGACTCACGACTGTCAAAATCAACAAAACCATACCCACGACATTTTCTCGTCAATTTATCCAAAATTGCTTTTGTAGAAACAATCTAAAAATCAATTTTTAAAAATTCCTTAACGTTATAAAAAAGGGCAACCTTTCCATAAGGAGCACACATTTCATAAAGCTTTTCATCAGTACAATCCTCCTGAAGACCACGAATATAAAGATTAGTCTAAAAATATGAAATAAAGATTTTGTGATTTCTTCTAAAAAATACATCGCTCAGAACTCCTCCAGATAAATTAAGAAAAGCATCGCTTTCACCTTGATTTCTCTGTATTTGGCTTACATTTAATGTTTCAGACGAAGTTACTAAACAAACTGAATAACAAAATAAATTAAAAAACAAGAAATAATTAAACAAAAAAAGTACTTTGATTTGCATTGCTATTAGTAGATGACAAATCTAATTGTGAAGATTGTTGAACTGGATAATTCTGAATACTTTGCGTAAAATGTTCATCACGTGGAGAAGGATCTATCTGTCTTGTTAGCTTAAGAAGGCGAAATAAACGCAAAATTAAATATATGAACATTGTGTTTAATATTGGTATTGAAGGTAAAAAATACGGAGAGGGGATCTTAGAGATATTGTCAGTTATATGTAGTTTACTAATATTATTCGAAAATTAAAACCAAATATCAAAAAATAATCACAATGGTTTGATGCAAAACTTTTGACATGTATCTTATAATTCTAAACAATATTTAGAATGTTTCTTACTTATTGTTAGACCCTATCTATTGAGAAATGAGGAAAATATTTGTACAAAGTCATTAAAATTTCAACAAACCAAACCTCTTCATTTGGATTATCATAATTTTCTCCTGTAAATTGTGTCTCCACTTGTTTATTATGTTCAGATGCTGCCATTCTATAATCTGTTGCCATTGTAGAAGTTGTTGTAGTACAACCGGAATAAAAACTTTTTGGGTGTTTCTTTGGAAAAAATGTGCGTTGTTGTTGACCAAAAGTAGCTGAAGGTGGGAGAGATTGGGGATGCTGCTGCTGATATTGGAGAATTGAATGATGTTGATATGATTGCTCTTCTAAAGACATTTGTGTTGGTAGCGATGAAGGCAATTTTTGAGAAGATTGAGAAGCTGAAGATGTTGTTGGCTTAAAAATTAGAAAAAAATATTTTGAAATTAAAATATTTAAAAAATGGCATTTAAATAATTAAAGTGACTGAAAAAAATGAAACTATGATGTCAAGGCGGAAAGTAAATTTGTGAACTCAACAAGATGGAAGTATTATTTTTAACAGCAGAAAGAATTTACTAAAATAACCAAAATAAATATTAAGATGAGAATTTAAATAAGGGGCATGCCCTTGCAAGAGATTACTGACTCATACCTCCCATTCAAAGGCAAGTTTTTAAATTAAAGCACTCTCCTATTCATTAGTAATTTCGGCAAACTAAACTAGACATAAAAAAGGATTGAACTTTCGATACACTAATCTTATATTGATTCTTTTTAAATTTATAAAAAAATAAAAATACCTGCTGATGCAATCTGTGGGCTTGGGGAGAAGCTTCGCCTCTCAACGCCATTGCCATAGTTTAAAAGTTGCCAAATGCTTGATAATGAATTTTTATTAATTCAGTGTTCTAATTTTCCAGAAGTTTATAAATTTATTCATTAAATTTAAATATTTATTTTCTCATGCAAAAATTGATCTAAATTTGTCAATTCAGATTAAGCATTTATAAATAGAAAGAAAAGACGCAAACATAGTCAAGTTCAAAAGGAAAAAGAGAGGAGAGTAACGAGGCAAAGAATGGTTTTTGAATTAAAAAGGAAATGATAAGGAAAAATATGGCGGCTTGTGCAAAAAGGTATCAATGTTTTCGTGCATTTAAAGAAAAAATGACCGGGAAAAATAGCATAATTGATTGAAGATTTAAATGAAAGAAATATTGTGTATATTGCCTAATACAAATGTTAGAGAAATTTTCTTATCAGTGCTAAAAAGCAAAAAAGTATTTAATTAGGTGCGGGTTGATCTCAAAAGAATGAAAAAGAATTAGACATTAAAAGATTTTTGTGGTTTAACGGAGACAAAATAAAATAATTGTTAATGACCAAAAGCACCACTACAAAATGGTACCGACAAATGATAACAAAACGGTACAGATTTATAAAAAATATGACAAAAATACTAAATTTCAGTTTCCATTTCCTTATCACTAAAATCTGCCAACTTGTTACTTCTTCAACTTTTCAAAGATTACTCCAGTTTACAAGACATTTTCCATTTCCTTGTCACATATACTCCGAGTACCATTTTGTCACTTTTTAGCCAAAGCACCATTTTGTCAAGTACCATTTTGTTAAGACACGAGACCAAATGGCTGAATCCTTTACTTCTCTATAATAATACATATTTTACAAAAAAATTTTCTCTCGCTGCTTTGGTTTTGGACTAATGAGTCACATTAGGTTAAAATTAACTTAAATGAGTAATCTAGACTTAAGTTGCAAGACGGAAAAATGCTAGAGCATAAAAACAAGCAGAGAAAAATAATTTATTTTCCAATTTTTGTTTAGTAAAGTTTTACTGATCGATTTTCACAAATGATACTGCTACAAAATAATGCGCAACAAAATATACAAAATTAGTACAATGATTGATAAAGATATTTCAATTATATTTTAATTTACAGTGAAAATTAACCTAGAAATCCAGAAATTTCTTAACACACTGTAGTGTCTTGGAAAGCACACCCTGCATTTCATTCACATCTTTCTAACAAATTTTTCTAATTTTCGCATACTCGAGTCACCAAAACTGGCCAAAGATGAGGGAATACCCGCAGATCCAGTTAACGTCTCAAATGTTGACATTGTTTTTGTATTAGTTACTGCTTGATTATCACCTATATTAAAATATTAATCTTTAAAGCACGAAATTTTGGCATAGAAAAATAAAAATTATCCTCCAAAAATCTTTTCTATATTTTGGAGATTTTTAGTTATATAAAATCCACACCTTTACCACTTTCCAATTTTGTTTTATATAATTGTACAAGTTGTTGTTGATCAGCCTTTCGCATTGACCTCATCTCCATAATTCGTTGTAATTCACTAACATCCGAATCCGGTAAAATTCTCATGTAATGAGTTACAAATTCATTTGGATCTGAAGTATCCGCCATCACAGCCTAAAAAATGTTAAATTATTATCTTTAAATAATCAAATTCTTTTCTCCTCACTCACTTTCAATTTCTGTCTTAATCTAATCCCCCACTAAAAAATAAAAACTTTAATAACCTTCAAAATCATTTCTGCCCTCGCCATTCCTTTATTCAAAGTATTTGTATACATTTGCAGAGGTTTTATTACAATTGAACTTTCAATTGAGGGTCTAAAATTACAAATAATTTAAAGATTTTACTCTTCTAATCTTACAAATTAAGTAAAAAAGTCTTCAAAGAATGTGTATCCAACAATAACTGTTCTGCACCGGCTATAGATATTGGTCGGCATTTAAATATTGCACCAAGAAATTTGTTGACTAAATTAGTTGCAAGTTTCATACAGAAATGGGCAAAATATTTTCTTCTGAATTTTTTAAAAAATTATGAAAAACAAAAGGGTGAATAAATTAAAGATTTCCTCAAAATCCAAGAAAAAAATTTAGGGGGAATAATAAAATAAAAAATTCTCTTTAAAATAACCTTTCACTAAAATAATCTCTAATTAACGGAACTGTTGGACGTAAATTCTTTCTGATTGTAGAAACATAAGGGGATTCATCTCTAACTTGTTCAATATTTGACCAACTAAAAATTAAAGCTTTAATTTTAAAATAATTAGTAAATTTACTTTATTTTAGTCATAGCTTGCAAACTAGGCTCACAAAGCATTTCTGCATCTTGTACAAGAATATTAAGAGAATTATTTGAAATGCTGTAAAATAGCTCTGATTCTTGGCTTAAATCTGCAGGCTAAAAAAGGACGAAATTAAATTAATAATTTAAAAATTACCGATATTTTTTGTTTCAATTTTTCTTGTAATTGAACAGTTGTTTCAGCACTCCAATCAGCTGTAGCTAATATACAACAAGTAAAATAGATTTGGTCTTGTGTTAAACGAGCAGACGGAGATGTCTCGTCTCGTATTAAATTCTGTAAAATTGAGGAAGTTCCAATTAATCCAACGCCTGATAGAGTGGAAGAAGTCTGCGAAAATGTTTGAGGAAGAAAAGCTGAAAGACAGCCATGGGCGTATTGACGCAAACATTGACGAAATATTTCGATTAATTTGCTAGGAAAGAAAAATAAGAGTATTTGGTTGTTCAAATTTTAGAGAATCTCATTAATCTTTCTATTTAAATATTTTTTTTTTTATTTATTTGTTTATTCAAAAAAAAATGTCAATGAAGGGGGAAACCACTTACACATTGACAATAAAATAACAATAGGTAAAAAATATGACAAAAAATAATAAATTATGTATGATATATAATTTTTATTTGTAATTCCTTCTTTTAATTCCAATTGGATTTTCAATGGGAGAAACATTTGAATTGACTTGTTTTCTTTTTGTTGCCATTGTTTACCCAATTAAGGTCAAAAAAGAAGGCTTAAATTGTCAAAAAAGATTGCCTTAAAAATTAAATTAATTTTAATTATAAATTGAAATACAAGAAACTTATAGGTTTAAAAAACAACAAAAGTCAAAATAAAGGTCTTAAAGTCTAAAATAATTGATTTAAATAAAAAAATATATTTAATTTCATTAAAAAGGAAAAATAAGGAAAAAATATATGTATATATTTTGTAATAAATCGATTTTTTGAAAAATAGACAAAATGCCAATTTATTGTATAATAGAGTCTGAATAGGTAAATAACTTTTGATTTTTTAAATTTTTTGAAACTGCTTGATTAGATTTTTTAAATATATATATATATTTTTTCCTCCTTTTTTTCATTTAAAAATTAAAACTTGAATAATAAATAGGGTTGGCCTGTACACAAAAAAAATTTTTTTTTAATTATTGCACCAATATGGCTTTTAATTTATTTTTAAAGGATAATGGGGAATTGGCTAATATAGTCTGACTATCAAGGACATTCCAATTTTTAGTTACTCTATTTACAAAGGATTTTGAACTAAATTTGTTTTGACCTTTAGAAAGAATTCTAATTTTGGAGGATTCATTTCTTCTGTTGGATAAATTGAAAAATTTAGTAGGATTAAAATGGGTATATCCATTCAAAATTTTGTAGGTTAAAACTAGATCAGAAATTTTTCTCCTATTTTCTAGTGTTTGAATTTTAAGGTATTCTAACCTATTAAAATACTCGACGTATGGGAGTCTACATTTTTTAAATAAAATTTTAGTAAAGTATTTCTGACATTTCTCTAATCTAGTTATTTCGCTTTTTTGCAATGGATTCCATGCTTCAGGTGAATACTCTAAAAGTGGCCTTATATAACTTTTGTAGATGGTAATCCATGTTCCAGTAGTTCTCGATTTAATAACATTGAAAACAAATCTCATTCTAGAATAAACTCTTTGTATTATTTTATTTAAATGTATATCAAATTTTAATTTATTATCAATAATAATCCCTAAATCTCGTATTGATTCAACTTCATTTATAATATTTGCATTAATTTTATACTGATCTTTAGGGTTATTTTTTCCAATATGCATGATAAATGTTTTATTTGATGAAATATCGATTTTCCATAATTTAGACCATTCTTCAATTTTTTTTTATTGCAAGGTTTAGATGGGTTCTTTCAATTTTATTACTATGAACATTATATATTTTTACATCATCAGCAAACATTTTAATTTTTATTTCCTTTGGCATAACCTCAGGAAGGTCATTTATGTAAATCAAAAATAGTAGAGGTCCAAGGACTGAACCCTGAGGAACACCAGATGTAATTTTTCTTGTTTGAGATACCTCATTAACAATTTTTACTTCAAAAGTTCTATATGACAAAAATTCTGCAATCCATTTGATTATTTTTCCCCGAATCCCAATATCATAGAGCTTTTTTAATAGAAGATCATGTGGAACCGAATCAAATGCTTTTTTAAAATCTTTAAAAATGCAATCTATATTCTTTTTTTTAAACATTGCATCATACCAATCTTCTAGTGTTGTAATAAATTGCGTTGTTGTTGATCTTTTTTGCATAAATCCAAATTGATTTTCATTTATTAAGTTATTTATCATTAAGAAATTTGATATGTATTTTGACAATATTTTTTCCATAATTCTACACATGCAGCATGTGATAGAAACAGGTCTATAGTTTTCAGGATTTGATTTATCTCCTTTTTTAAAAATAGGAATAATAATAGATTTTTTCCAGATATTAGGAATCTTTCCTTCGTCAAGTGATATTCGAAAAAAATCTAATAAATAGGGTGCTAGAATTAGATATGAATTTTTGATAATCTTATAACTTATTCCATCTGGAGAAGTTCCATCTTTATTAGGTAGCTTTTTTAAAATCGAAATAACATCTGTTATGTCAAAGTTAATATCTGTTAGAATATGTTTCTGATTATTTGAGTCAAATCCTTCAACATTATACGTTGGTAGATCATTACTATTACAAAGGCTTGTTTGGAAAAGCTGTGCAAATACTTCAGATTTATCATATGAGTTATTAATAATTTTATTTTCAAAAGTTATTGTAGGAATTTGATTATCTAGTAACTTAAATTTTCTCATATAGTTAAAAATATTCATACGATTATTATTAATAATTCTATTCTGCTGTTTAGCAAAGAAATTTTTAGTTTGAATTTTAATGTGTAGTGAGATACTTTTATATTTTTCTTCAAAATTAATTTTATCTAATTTTTGAAGCTTATATAATCTTGTCTTTTCTTTTATGGAAGCTAGCAAATGTGCAGGATATTTGTGAACCTTTTCTTTCTTAGTTAAAATTTTTATTGGACAAAATTGTTCTAATCCTTCATTTATAATCTTAGTTAAATTATTATATTTATCCTCTACATAAAAATTAAAAGTATGTAGATTTGGTATAATAGAGGATAAATATAAATTAAGTAATTTTATTTGATTAGTATTAAATTGTCTATATTTTATTAATTGTGTATTAGTTTTAGCTTGTGGATATTTAATCCCAAATGTAATAAAGTCATGATCAGATGAGAAGAATTTTCCTTGGTTTAAAACATTTGAAAAAAGTTGATATTGGTTAGTCAAACAAAGATCTAAACATGCATTATCTCTAGTTGCAAAATTAATTACAGATTCTAAATTATTTCTGTTAAAAAATTCATAAAATAATTCTCCTATTTTTGATTTAGCATAAGGAACAGAATTAATCCAATTTATATCTTTGTTTCCGAAATTAAAATCCCCAAAAAACATACAATTAAAGGTTAATAATTCTTCTAAAAAATTTAAAAGTTTCTTAGTCTGGTAAAGACTGGTGTCAGGAGGTCTATATACAAGAATTAAATTTAGACATTTTGAATTACAGATTTGAATATGAAGAATTTCAGAGTTGAATTTTGATAGACTGTGTTTTTTTAAATAAGAGAATTTCTTATCAATTATTAGAGCACACCCCCCTCCTTTCTTTTCCCTATTAGAAACTATAGTATTGTATTTTTCCATAATTTTTAGATCTAGAAAATTTAGGCTTTCATCCTTATTTAACCAAGTTTCAGTTAATCCTAATACATCTAATTTAAAATTGTCAAGGGCAAGGGTTATTTCCTCAGTTTTTTTATTTAAAGACCTTATATTAGCCAATCCACATTTTATACCTTCAAAATTACCAGGATTTAAATTATTTATTTTTAGTCGTAAATTTATATTAACATTAGATAATTTCTGGAAACCCTTTTTTGTTATACCAGTATTTTTTGTGTAAGTGGCAGGCCCCCCCTATTTACTGTGACAAGCACAGATGAAATTCCCCGGATCCTTTCGGAACCGGGAAATTTCACCCCTGGTCATAACATGACCACCATAAATAACACAATCACAATTTGGGTCAGATTTATATCTGTCCCTACAATACGAAATTAAATGGGCCCTTTCAGCTAATTGATTCTTATTTAAAGATTCTCTAACCTTTATACCATCAGCCATTTTCTTTTTTGCTCCAAGAAGACGCCTCACATGCCAACGTGTTGGTAATTCAACTTTTATAAGGCGGTTTCCATATTCTTTCGTTGTTCCCATTCTATATACTTTTACTGGAAGACATTCAACATCACACAAGTCCAATAATTTAATTATTTGTTGTTTGTCTTCAGCTGCTTTTTGTGTTGCCGTTGTTGCCTTGCTTTCTTTGATTCCCGAAAAAACAACACTGTGTTGTCGTCGGTCCTCTTCAATTGCATCGGCCATCATTACTTGATCTCCAATAATTGAACCTGCAAGCTGCAGAAGTGCTGACATTTGCTTGAGCATTTGTTGAGCATAAAGCGGTATATTAGAGTCTTGTTCAATTTCTGTTGTCTTTTGATTCAATTCAGATAATTGATTAAGAAATTGCCTTTTGTTGTCATTTCCAATTGGAGAAACATTTGCATTGGCTTGTTTTCTTTTTGTTGCCATTGTTTACCCAATTAAGGTAAAAAAAGAAGGCTTAAATTGTCAAAAAAGATTGCCTTAAAAATTAAATTAATTTTAATTATAAATTGAAATACAAGAAACTTATAGGTTTAAAAAACAACAAAAGTCAAAATAAAGGTCTTAAAGTCTAAAATAATTGATTTAAATAAAAAAATATATTTAATTTCATTAAAAAGGAAAAATAAGGAAAAAATATATGTATATATTTTGTAATAAATCGATTTTTTGAAAAATAGACAAAATGCCAATTTATTGTATAATAGAGTCTGAATAGGTAAATAACTTTTGATTTTTTAAATTTTTTGAAACTGCTTGATTAGATTTTTTAAATATATATATATATTTTTTCCTCCTTTTTTTCATTTAAAAATTAAAACTTGAATAATAAATAGGGTTGGCCTGTACACAAAAAAAATTTTTTTTTAATTATTGCACCAATATGGCTTTTAATTTATTTTTAAAGGATAATGGGGAATTGGCTAATATAGTCTGACTATCAAGGACATTCCAATTTTTAGTTACTCTATTTACAAAGGATTTTGAACTAAATTTGTTTTGACCTTTAGAAAGAATTCTAATTTTGGAGGATTCATTTCTTCTGTTGGATAAATTGAAAAATTTAGTAGGATTAAAATGGGTATATCCATTCAAAATTTTGTAGGTTAAAACTAGATCAGAAATTTTTCTCCTATTTTCTAGTGTTTGAATTTTAAGGTATTCTAACCTATTAAAATACTCGACGTATGGGAGTCTACATTTTTTAAATAAAATTTTAGTAAAGTATTTCTGACATTTCTCTAATCTAGTTATTTCGCTTTTTTGCAATGGATTCCATGCTTCAGGTGAATACTCTAAAAGTGGCCTTATATAACTTTTGTAGATGGTAATCCATGTTCCAGTAGTTCTCGATTTAATAACATTGAAAACAAATCTCATTCTAGAATAAACTCTTTGTATTATTTTATTTAAATGTATATCAAATTTTAATTTATTATCAATAATAATCCCTAAATCTCGTATTGATTCAACTTCATTTATAATATTTGCATTAATTTTATACTGATCTTTAGGGTTATTTTTTCCAATATGCATGATAAATGTTTTATTTGATGAAATATCGATTTTCCATAATTTAGACCATTCTTCAATTTTTTTTTATTGCAAGGTTTAGATGGGTTCTTTCAATTTTATTACTATGAACATTATATATTTTTACATCATCAGCAAACATTTTAATTTTTATTTCCTTTGGCATAACCTCAGGAAGGTCATTTATGTAAATCAAAAATAGTAGAGGTCCAAGGACTGAACCCTGAGGAACACCAGATGTAATTTTTCTTGTTTGAGATACCTCATTAACAATTTTTACTTCAAAAGTTCTATATGACAAAAATTCTGCAATCCATTTGATTATTTTTCCCCGAATCCCAATATCATAGAGCTTTTTTAATAGAAGATCATGTGGAACCGAATCAAATGCTTTTTTAAAATCAATAAAAATGCAATCTATATTCTTTTTTTTAAACATTGCATCATACCAATCTTCTAGTGTTGTAATAAATTGCGTTGTTGTTGATCTTTTTTGCATAAATCCAAATTGATTTTCATTTATTAAGTTATTTATCATTAAGAAATTTGATATGTATTTTGACAATATTTTTTCCATAATTCTACACATGCAGCATGTGATAGAAACAGGTCTATAGTTTTCAGGATTTGATTTATCTCCTTTTTTAAAAATAGGAATAATAATAGATTTTTTCCAGATATTAGGAATCTTTCCTTCGTCAAGTGATATTCGAAAAAAATCTAATAAATAGGGTGCTAGAATTAGATATGAATTTTTGATAATCTTATAACTTATTCCATCTGGAGAAGTTCCATCTTTATTAGGTAGCTTTTTTAAAATCGAAATAACATCTGTTATGTCAAAGTTAATATCTGTTAGAATATGTTTCTGATTATTTGAGTCAAATCCTTCAACATTATACGTTGGTAGATCATTACTATTACAAAGGCTTGTTTGGAAAAGCTGTGCAAATACTTCAGATTTATCATATGAGTTATTAATAATTTTATTTTCAAAAGTTATTGTAGGTTATTGTACTTCAAAAGTTATTGTACTTCTTCAAAAGTTATTGTACTTCTTCAACTTTTCAAAGATTACTCCAGTTTACAAGACATTTTCCATTTCCTTGTCACATATACTCCGAGTACCATTTTGTTAAGACACGAGACCAAATGGCTGAATCCTTTACTTCTCTATAATAATACATATTTTACAAAAAAATTTTCTCTCGCTGCTTTGGTTTTGGACTAATGAGTCACATTAGGTTAAAATTAACTTAAATGAGTAATCTAGACTTAAGTTGCAAGACGGAAAAATGCTAGAGCATAAAAACAAGCAGAGAAAAATAATTTATTTTCCAATTTTTGTTTAGTAAAGTTTTACTGATCGATTTTCACAAATGATACTGCTACAAAATAATGCGCAACAAAATATACAAAATTAGTACAATGATTGATAAAGATATTTCAATTATATTTTAATTTACAGTGAAAATTAACCTAGAAATCCAGAAATTTCTTAACACACTGTAGTGTCTTGGAAAGCACACCCTGCATTTCATTCACATCTTTCTAACAAATTTTTCTAATTTTCGCATACTCGAGTCACCAAAACTGGCCAAAGATGAGGGAATACCCGCAGATCCAGTTAACGTCTCAAATGTTGACATTGTTTTTGTATTAGTTACTGCTTGATTATCACCTATATTAAAATATTAATCTTTAAAGCACGAAATTTTGGCATAAAAAAATAAAAATTATCCTCCAAAAATCTTTTCTATATTTTGGAGATTTTTAGTTATATAAAATCCACACCTTTACCACTTTCCAATTTTGTTTTATATAATTGTACAAGTTGTTGTTGATCAGCCTTTCGCATTGACCTCATCTCCAAAATTCGTTGTAATTCACTAACATCCGAATCCGGTAAAATTCTCATGTAATGAGTTACAAATTCATTTGGATCTGAAGTATCCGCCATCACAGCCTAAAAAATGTTAAATTATTATCTTTAAATAATCAAATTCTTTTCTCCTCACTCACTTTCAATTTCTGTCTTAATCTAATCCCCCACTAAAAAATAAAAACTTTAATAACCTTCAAAATCATTTCTGCCCTCGCCATTCCTTTATTCAAAGTATTTGTATACATTTGCAGAGGTTTTATTACAATTGAACTTTCAATTGAGGGTCTAAAATTACAAATAATTTAAAGATTTTACTCTTCTAATCTTACAAATTAAGTAAAAAAGTCTTCAAAGAATGTGTATCCAACAATAACTGTTCTGCACCGGCTATAGATATTGGTCGGCATTTAAATATTGCACCAAGAAATTTGTTGACTAAATTAGTTGCAAGTTTCATACAGAAATGGGCAAAATATTTTCTTCTGAATTTTTTAAAAAATTATGAAAAACAAAAGGGTGAATAAATTAAAGATTTCCTCAAAATCCAAGAAAAAAATTTAGGGGGAATAATAAAATAAAAAATTCTCTTTAAAATAACCTTTCACTAAAATAATCTCTAATTAACGGAACTGTTGGACGTAAATTCTTTCTGATTGTAGAAACATAAGGGGATTCATCTCCAACTTGTTCAATATTTGACCAACTAAAAATTAAAGCTTTAATTTTAAAATAATTAGTAAATTTACTTTATTTTAGTCATAGCTTGCAAACTAGGCTCACAAAGCATTTCTGCATCTTGTACAAGAATATTAAGAGAATTATTTGAAATGCTGTAAAATAGCTCTGATTCTTGGCTTAAATCTGCAGGCTAAAAAAGGACGAAATTAAATTAATAATTTAAAAATTACAGATATTTTTTGTTTCAATTTTTCTTGTAATTGAACAGTTGTTTCAGCACTCCAATCAGCTGTAGCTAATATACAACAAGTAAAATAGATTTGGTCTTGTGTTAAACGAGCAGACGGAGATGTCTCGTCTCGTATTAAATTCTGTAAAATTGAGGAAGTTCCAATTAATCCAACGCCTGAGAGAGTGGAAGAAGTCTGCGAAAATGTTTGAGGAAGAAAAGCTGAAAGACAGCCATGGGCGTATTGACGCAAACATTGACGAAATATTTCGATTAATTTGCTAGGAAAGAAAAATAAGAGTATTTGGTTGTTCAAATTTTAGAGAATCTCATTAATCTTTCTATTTAAATATTTGTCAGATTATACTTTCCTGGAGCCTGTATCAATTGTCTGCAGATTCTGCATACACAGAATCTGTGGAACAAATGATATAGAATTTCTGCAGTTCTGCAATCTGTGCACAGACCGCAGAATCTTCGGACAATTGATATAGGCCCTTGAAAGATAAAATCTTTCTTTATATTTTTTCTTTAAATGAATTAACATTTGTTATCAAAACACTCTCATAGAGTTTAGATAATTTTTGTAAAAATTTTATGATGTCTCTCATGTCAGAATTAAAGATTTGCAATTTAAAGTGTAAACCTCAAAACATTATTTGCATCTGCAAATAACTTGGTTGATTCAGTAATTATTTTCTTTATCAACAAAAACATATTTGTAGCTAAATTTAATTTTTGAAAGATTTTAATAATTAAAAAACCGGAGGGTAGAGGAATGGCTGAAGAATGAATTTCCTTTTTTGGACGTTCTTCACCGCTTCGAATTTTTGCCGCACATTCATTGAGAAAATGAGAAATTTTATTTTGCTGTTCATTCAAAAATATATCAACCTGTTCATCAAATACTGACCAAATTATCTAAAAAAGAAAATAAAGTCTACTAATTTCAATATGGCTATAACACAAAAATATATGTTCAAAAATAACCCCAATCATACAAATAAATAATTGGTAAGTCCAGAGATAATAAAATTTAAAGTTCGAATTGAGTTTCGAGGAAAATAAATTTAACTAAAAAACCTTTTCAAAGTCATATTC